AAACGGCACATGGGACGATCCAGTCCTACAAACAAGAGCATACGCCTGGCTACGCGGAAGGACAATGTGGATGCCGGAAGAGTGCTCCAAGAGTGGAAAGGAGGCAAGATTCGACCTCGACCTGGATTGCAGACGAAGAAGCCCAAGCCCACAGGGTCAAGTGCAAGGCGCCCACTCACTCAACTACCATCCAATGTCTTCTCTCGCGGTGCTGTGTCATCTCCGAAGGTCCGCAGCGCCACACAACCTGATGAACTCCGCCGCGAGGGCTCAACGCCTTTGACGCCGTTACCGGAGGCGCGCTCTCGGGCAAGGCTGATGTCGAGAAGCAATTCGATCACAAGTCAGCACACGCAAGATGCCAGCAACAGACCGGCTCAGCTTGAAACGGATTTAACCCAGCAACCGGGCAGAATCGGGTTCCAAGCAAAGAAGCGAGCTCTCGATGCCCTTTTCAAGCGAAATCACTCGCAGTCGCAGTCGTCGAGGAGTTCGCATCTGGATTCCTTCCTAGACGATACATCGTCAGTAGTATCAGGGCACAGCCTTGCTACTAGAGGCTCTCCTGAGCCTGCAGCAGTCAAGAAGCCCGTATTGAAGCGTCCGAGAAAGCCTGCACAGCCAATCCAGATCGATGTCACGGCAGCCCATTTCCGTCATGCAGACGACCCCTTACCTACTGTAGAGTTGATGACTCCCATGGAAACGCCTAACGCCTTGTTCAACGATAACCAGCTTCTTGGTCTCGGTCCTTTCGGCACACACTACACACAACACTTTGACATTTTCCCCCTGGATCGCGGAGTCTTCTTCCACGAGACAACACTCATCGGCAGTGGTCGGGTCAGCTCAGTAGTATATGACCAGTTTGCCGAGAAGGTCTGGAATTACCGGCCCCGAATTTCTTTCAGCCTCGGTGAAATGGTCCTTCGATGGGACTCGTGGACCGAACAAGTCTCTTCCGAATTCGGCATCGTGATGGACGGAATCCTCGATCAAATTCTCAAGCCATCACTGTCTGCAGAAGTCACAACCGATGCTCAAGGAGCGGCAAGATTTGTTCTGGACTATGTCCAAAAAGCTATGAGCTTTACCGATGATGCCGATGCTGGCTCCTTCATCGCTCGGGTCTCTGACGTAGTCAAGTCTTTCTTGACACGCTTCGATTCTGGAAATGTCACTGACTTGCCAAAACGTCGGGAACTGGCTGACGTGTTGTCGAATGTACTTCTTGTCGTTTCCTATGCAGTCCGCCTCTGCCAGAAAAGCCCGACGCTGATGACAGAGAGCTTTGCTATGGAGGCGCTCCTCAGAAAGACTGCAGAAAGACTGGTCCGATTGCTACTTAACATTGGCCTGGATGACGTTACACAACTCTACGATGATCTTCAGACCTTAAGATACCGCGAGCGTGGCATCCGCTGCGACAAGGTGGTAGCACACTCTTGGGTGCTTCTCATGAAGGTCCTAGAATATCTTCGGATTCCTAGGATGACATTCTGGGACGTCACGTACTCATGCATGATACAACCAAGCGTCATTCGTGGCATGGACTCCCAAGAGTTTGAGAATCTCTGGAAGAAGATGTTTACGCTGTTACCGTTGTGCGAATTTGACGGCAATGGTGTAGTCGTTTCCGATAGAAGGCACCAAGTTCCCCTGGAAGGGTGGAACTTGCCCCAGCAAGTCCTCAAACGCGTCTTCCAACTATACCGCGACAATCCTCGCCAGTCACCCAGCTTCAATGATTACTGTCGGGCACTAGTGTCCAGATGTCACTATCTGGTCGATCAATGGGGTTGGCAGAAAAGCAGCGGTATCATTGGTACCATCTTCGACTTCTTTGGCTCGCAGAACTTATCTCACCTACGCAATGAAGAAGCATTCCGCTCAGCTCGGTTCTTAGACAGCCTTCATCTTGACCCGTCTCTCCATGTTGAACCAGAGGATAGATGTTTTCACATATTCCTCAAACTCGTGGCACTAGCCATCAAGAGGATGAGGCAGAGAGAGGCAGTCAACGACATTCGGAACTTGGTTGCTCGCACACTGCCAAACCACGACCGTCAATATTCCAAAGAACAAAACGTCCACCAGCATGACCTGGCCGCTCTCAGAAACCACCATGATCTTCTATGCACTCTGTTCTGGGCAGCGCCACCCGATCTTCGTCCCGGCATCCACAACCTGGAGAAGCTGGTGATTCCTGCCAGCTCTCACAAGGAAGCCTGCCTTATCAATCTGCGGGCTTGGAATCAACTAGCAAGGTTCGTTGTGCATGAGGAGTCCGCCGCTTCATTCAACCCGTTGGCTAGCTGGCAGGCCAACGTGTTCAAGCAGCTGTTGGATCAGTACAACTCTGCCGCAGCAGATATTCAACAGCAATTTTTGGCACTGTCCAAGAATGACAGCAACAATGTCAGCGAAGACCTGATGAACTCCATTGTGGCTACGAACAAAGCTGCTACCATGGAGATCATGCTCTTCTCAGTCAAGTCCTCAATGGAGGTTGTGCAATATGCAAGTAGCTTGGAGCTGGCAAGGCTTGCCTCTAGCCCTTGTAAGATAACCTGCCAGACGTTTGCCATCCTTCAACTAACATCATCCGCAGATCAACTACAGCAAGTCTTCCAGCATTTCTCTACTTTGCCAGCAGACTTCCCGACCACGCTTCTCCAAGCCTCTTTGACCACCCTTGAACGTCTTGTTGGTCGAATCGAGTCGGTCTTCAATGAGGCCGATGACAGCCAAGACAGTATGGCCTCTCGGACATTGGAATCTGAGGATGCTATTCTGGTAAGTAATGCTCATGTTCTAGTATCGTGTACGTGTGTGTCTAACTTCCTCCTAGATGCTGGACCGCGAATTGGCGGCTGCGTTCCTTTCAGCAGCACGCTGCCTCTTGTCAAATCAATCGCGTGATAAACCTAGCACTTCAAGTGTGTCAACATCCTGTATTGAGCAATCTGTCGTGGTCTCTGGCATGATGGTTGGTCTTTTCGTCCGCTGTGGAATGATGGTGAGTTGATCTGGGTTAATTCAAAGAGTCAATACATTGCTGAACATTCCTAGGCACTCTCGCAGGTCTTCAAACCCACCAAATATGGGCTATTCGGGAAAGCGCCAAACAAACTTGACTGGGAACAACGCCAATACCTTCCACTCTTCCTTTCCGTTGTTGCGCAGAAGGGAGCAACCATCAACCTGGAGGTAAGGAACGCCACTGGTGCATGATACATGAACGTGGCTAACATGACGCAGGATATTGGAGCAAGCCTTTTGCTGTTGTGGCTCATGATCATCGTACAGCCGAGTCACTGCCTGAGATTCGAGAACCAATTTGGACAGCAGCTCCAACGACAGGGCTATCCTTTCATTCCAGACAAAGCAGGTCTCGTTGTCAACCCAGGCTACTCGGCCAATCGTGACTTTTTCGAATGTGAGTACTTGCGCAGGTTGATTATGTGGCACAAATGACTGACCATTTTCAGACGCGGTATCTTGGATGCGGAAATCTCTACATACAGCCGACGCTGCCTCCAAGAGGAACATGCGGTCAGAGTTCGAGAGAGTTCTCAATGCCGTCATGAACCAGATGCGGGCTGATGTTCAGATCATGGCCGCAGACGTATCAGAGCATCCGAGCTATGTCAAGTTCGTCCGCAACATCATCTCCCTCATCAAGGCTCACGGGCCAGACATCTGTCCCGTGCAAAAGTTTTTCTTGGAAGTAAGCAAGGAGTATTCGCCGCCCATGCAGGACCCGCAGCTACAAGCAGCGTTGATCCAGTCATACGGATTCAAGCTTGCGGAAGGCGACCCCAGAGTCCCTAGTACACTATTCCACTTCTTGCTCAATAACTTCAAGGGCGCTCTCCAGCGTGGTCGACTGCCTCATGAAGTCGTCCTGCTGAATGGGGCTTTGGAGAACGATGCCATCATGTCGTTCATTCTGGGGAAGATGCTTCCCGCAGTGTTGCATGCCACTGTATCCCACGTCGAGGCCTACGCAATGCTTGACGTTCTGTGCGATGCGCTTGGACTGGCAATAAAATTGCCGCCTGTTGCTCGCCAAATCAGCGAAGACCATCTTGCGTGCATTACTGCCTTGGTCACAACCACCCTGGCTTGGGCATCCGCCCTAGGGAGGAGTATGCTTAGTCCTGAGCATGTTCATGTGCTCAGACGAATCACTTGGCTCCTCAACGCTTTCCAACCTTCTCTCGAAGCGTTCTCATTCATGGCTACAGAACCTCGAGGCTGGGACAATGTCATGGCCATGTTGCACTGGTTCAGCCTGCTTGCCGAAGGGGCTCAAGAGTATCTTGGAAACCAAGAAACCCCGTTCATAGCAGCGTCGGGACTGTTCCGCCGACTTAGAACTCTCAATGAGGTCTTTACGATCCAGGACACTACTGTTCTGACCTGGTCAGAGCATATAGGCAACGACATCAGTAGGAATTGGGTCACGGCAGGACCGTTGTTGACTGTATCAGCACACAACCGTGGGACACCTTCAACGCAGTCTGGGATTGGTTCCTTACGGCCTAACTGGGACATGCAAGAATTGACAACGAGCCTGCTCGATCAAATGCGGAACTGGCATGAGTGGTGGACGAGGGTGAAGGAGTCGCCAGCTGATACTGAGGAGGTAGATTTCGGGGAGGACATCTTTTTCTGAAAAGAGTATCTGTCATAGAGCAGCATCCAACCCTTACCGCTAGAAAGAAATGCATGATATCCATAATCACAAGCTGTTTACCAGCGATTAGAGAAAACCTTCTTGACTGTGTCTCTAATTCCATTGAAGTGCCTATGCTGAGTCATCTATTGCTGGGTCAAGGATCCATCTTGAATGATCTCATTAAGATCTGATTCGGTGTGGGTCGCTCGGTGAGCGTCGGTGAAGACTCTGCCGAGATTCCGCCGTTCTCACTAAGCATGGAGCCGGCTTCAACAGCTCGAAAGCAAACAAGGTCTCTTTTGCCACGCAACGACACCGCCAATTGCTGGCATTTTGCTTCTTGTCCTTCCGAATGTATGCATTAGGGCCTCGGGCCCTTGCACCCGCCTCACGAGTCTCCCCATCATCAAGGCTAGCGCTTTCGGTCGCTCATGGCGGCCAGTGTCGACACTTCCACCCGTCCTTTAGGTTGCGGAAGAGCCCGTCCGAAGGCGGCGCAGACGACGGCAAACCACCAGACAAACCCGCCGGCGAGCAAGAGGACGGCAGTAGGAGTAAGGATGGCAACGTGAGCAAGACGGAGTCGGCCACGGCGGAGTCAGCTTTTCGGAGGTCGAGAGGCGGCGCGTTCGCCTCTGCGAGAGCGCGCCTTTCGAGGCCGCGGGCCGCAGACGAGCTCCCACCCGTGAAGCTGCCGCAGAGCTTCCTCGATACCAGCGTGTCGCTGTACGACCCCGAAAACCGAATCAACACCCTCACGAACGACCTGTGGCACCATCGGTACATGGGCGCCCGCTGGCACGACCTGCTCTGGAAAGATTTGGATCTCGTGTTTAGCCATGCGTCTTGGAGCGAAGCGAAGCTGCAAGATGCGCTGCGCCGGGGCAACCTCGAAGCCATTGAGAGGAGGAGCCGCCTCCTCGCTGAGGCATCGCAGTGGCTGAGTCTCTCCATTGACGAGATGCGATCTTCGAATAACCTGCAGAGCTCCCGCGAGCCGCTGCCGACCACGGAATTCGCAGACATGCTTCGATACTCCAACAAGTTCGTCCTCTCGAACCTGTTGTCGCAACACACCAGAGCCACGACGGACGCCGACCCAACACAAGATCCAGACAGCGTACTGCAGTCGCTTGTCGAGCAATACATCGAGGAGGGACGGCCGAAGCTGAGACGTGACGGACTGAGGCTATTCGATCCCAGAATCCGCGGTGAAGTTGTCACGGCTGTGTGTGCGGAGCTTTCCCTGCAGCCGGACGCAAGCGCGGCAGGCAGGGAGCTCAAGAGACCCCTTACTGTCGTCAACATCCCGAACTACACCGGTCGAAGCCATGCCAAGAAGCTTATGAAGCACGTTGCGTCATGCGCGGAGGCCGATTTGATCCACCTCGATGCGCAGGAGTTAGCGATGCTCGTCGGCGACTATATCGGACAGGACTGTGCCTACTCGCGAGGCTCCATCTCTATGCTGGGATACCGGTCTGCCGAGATGAATGGACGTCTCGTCAAGAGCGAGGAGCCATCCAAGCCTAACGACGAGGATCTTTCTGGCGAGATCGAAGCGGCTTGGGTCAACCTCCGGGATCACGGTGTGGATGGGGGCTACGGCAACCCTATGGATAATGAACTGCAAAAGATCAAAGAAGGCCCCAAGGACTATATCCTCCCTTCTGTCGATCGATGGGAAAACCTGAAGATCAACGCCGTTCTCGAGGAGATTGCCAACTCGGCCGCGAAGATGACATCGGAGCCGGATCGCAACCTGATTATCCATGTGGACGACTTTGTTGAGCTCAACATGACGCTCGAGGGTGCACTGCTTATCGGTCGACTAAGGACCATCGTCGACACCATGTGGCGCGCCGGAAAGAGAGTGACCCTCGTGGGCACCTCATCCAACGAGAACCCTTCAGAGCAATACGCATCGACGCTCAAGGAGATCGCGGCAGAGGAGTGTCTGATCCCCTTGCCCCTAAACTTCCAGCGGATCACCGACGCTGCAAACACCAAGAAGATTTACGAGGCCAACGACTACTTGCAAGAGAACCTGCGAAACATCCAGCACATGTTGAAAAGCATTTCTGGCCAAACGCGAGACACGAGCAAACTGCGCATCGTCGGCGTGTCAAAGTCGTCGCCGCCGCAGTTCCTCTTGGATGACACGCACGGCTCTTATATGGAGGTTTCGCTCACCCCCCGCGTCCTAGCAACCTCCATCCTCCCCCTTTCCGACGTATACCACATAACCCGCCTCTTCTACGCCTGTGAGGGCACCGTCAGCCCCGACCAATCATGGAGGGTTCTCTTCGATGTCGTCGAGTCCAGCAGCTACAGCACCGCGCAACTGCACCGCACCCAGGACCGGCCGACGCGCTCCAAACCTTCCTCCGGCGGCGGAAGCTCAGCTGCCGACATGCAGAAGCCCGAACCCGAACGCCTTCGTGTGTCCGGCAACTACAACGACTACGAGAAGAAGCTTCTCAGCGGTCTCGTCAACAGCAGCGAGATCAAGACGACGTTCAACGACGTCCACGCCGACCCGGAGACCAAGAACAACCTCAAGCTCCTGACGTCGCTCTCGCTCGTCCGTCCCGAAGCCTTTACCTACGGCGTCCTCGCCACCGACAGGATACCAGGTTGTCTCCTCTACGGCCCGCCCGGCACCGGCAAGACCCTCCTCGCCAAGGCCGTCGCCAAGGAATCCGGCGCCAACATGCTCGAGGTCAGCGGCGCCAGCATCAACGACATGTACGTCGGCCAGAGCGAGAAGAACGTGCGCGCCCTCTTTTCCCTCGCCAAGAAGCTGAGCCCGCTCGTCATCTTCATCGACGAGGCCGACGCCCTCCTCGCCGCCCGCGGGCAGCGCAACCGCGCCGCGCACCGCGAGACCATTAACCAGTTCCTGCGCGAGTGGGACGGCATGAGCGACACCAAGGCCTTCATCATGGTCGCTACCAACCGGCCCTTTGACCTCGACGACGCCGTGCTCCGCCGTCTGCCGCGCAAGATCCTCGTCGACCTGCCGCTGAAAACAGACCGCGCCTCCATCCTCCGCATCCTTTTGAAGGGCGAGACGCTCGACGCGTCGGTGGACGTCGACGACGTCGCGCGCAGGACGGTGCTCTATTCCGGCTCCGACCTCAAGAACCTCTGCGTCGCGGCCGCCATGACGGCCGTCCAAGAGGAGAGCGAGGAGGCGGCGCGGCACGCCGGGCCGGAGCCGTATGTGTTCCCGCCCAAGCGGACGCTCGCGAAGCATCACTTTGATAAAGCGCTCAAGATGATTGCCGCCAGCGTCAGCGAGGACATGGACAGTTTGAAGAGCATCCGGCGGTTCGATGAAAAGTACGGCGATGTGAGGGCGAAGAATAGCCAGAAGAGGAAGGGTATGGGGTTCGGTGTGTTGCCGACTTCGACGGATGCTGAGGAGGCTAGGGTGCGGCAGGCTGTTGCTTGAATACTCTTGCCGCCTGGATCAAGGTTTCAATTTGATTTTTTTCATGTCTTTTTTTTTCTTTTTCTCTTTGTAATGTCATTCTAGCCGCTGAAGCAAACTCCTCCTACTTGGACCAGAGAGGGGTTAGCCTTTGACGCGAATTTGTACGATTTTGTTGCGTGATGGAAAAGATTTTCCCTTTGAGGATGTCCCATCGTAGGTTCGGGGGCTATAGAAAGGGGGGGGGGAAGGAAGTGAGTGGTGGATTCTGTATTATCACTGAAGAGGAGACATGCACACCATCTAAGATGAAGGTTAGTTGCTGAAACAAAAGGAAGGGAACAGCGAGAGATAGATGGGCTATGAATTACTATCCTCATGAGATGGGGGTTTGAAAAAAAGTAAATGAGGTGCCTCTTCTTGGTGATTTATGTGATGGGATGGAAGTGTGACTCGACCAGACTTGCATGCGTACAAAACATTTGGGAAGAAGCGTGAATGGAATGATGTGGTTTGCTTATTCCTGAATAAAGCTCCTGATAGTTTCGCATTTTGATATCTCTTATACAACCCAACCCTATTCCTCTCTCCACCAAAAGCCCAGATGTAGTATCTTAGCATGTCCCTGCCACCTCACCTCACCTCACCTCACCTCACGAGCAACCTTCAAGCCTCAGTAGAAAGCTGAACCCCCTCAGCAGCAAGAGCCCGCGAATAATCCCCCTGCGCCCTCTTCAACGCCTCCAGCGTCGGCTGCATAATCGCCAACACGGCCTTCCTGCCCCCCTTCTCGTGCTCAGGCCGCCACCCGCGAATCTTCTTCCCCGTCGCCTTGTAGTGATCCATAATCTCCTTCTTCTTGGCCCGGATAATCTCGTCGCGCGTCTTCTCCGCCTCGTCGGCGACGGCGTGGATGCGCTCGGCCGAGCGCCGCAGCGACTCGACGAGGTACTGCAGCTCGTTGGCGCGGTCCGGGTCGCCCGACAGGAACGCGTTCCAGAACTGGTGCAGAAACTCGACCGTCGTGGCGTGCGTCAGCTGGCACCGCTCCGCGACCTCGACGGGCAAGCCCATGGGCCGAGACTCGTCCGCCGTCGTGTCGCCGTACTTTTGCGCGCGACGCTGCCGGATGCCCTTCATGATGTCGTCGCCCGCGGCTTTCCTCGCGGCGCGGGAGCCGACGTGGGGCGGGCGCCGCCCGGCGCCGCCTGCTCCTTTGTCGTCGTCGCTGTCGCTGTCGTCGACGATGCCGATGCCCGCGCGGAGGTTGAGGCCGCCCGCACCGTCCGTCTCAATGGTTTCGAGGTCGGTCTGGATGTCAAAGAGGACGTCCGAGGGGTTCTGCTTGGCGAAGGCGAGGGCGTTTGCGGACTTGGCCTCGTCCTTTTTCGCAAAGAAGCGGTTCTGCTCCTTGATGTTGAGAATGATTTTGTTCTCCTTTGCATCGCCGCGCAGGTCGCGGAGGGCGATTTTCGCCCACGTCGAGTCCTCTTCCCCGGCCTCGGCGCCGCCGGTGTCGCGGTCCGAAGGGGCCACGTTGGCGAGCATGCGCTCGCTGAGACTGTTGAGCGTGTTGACAATGGGCACGTTCTTGCGCGGCCGCATCTCGACGTCCTTTTGGTTCCCGCTCCGGAAGCCGCCCTGGTTCTCCTCGTTGCCGTGGACGTCAATGATGTGCGGCACGCTCTGCGCCATGCTCTTGCGCTGGAACATTGTCGTGTTCTCGCTGGCGTCGTGGGCGTCGAAGAGCGCGTCGCGCTTGATGCCCTCCTTTCTCTCGTCCGTGATCCTGTCACCTTTGAGCGTGCGGAAGAGCTTGCTGAGGAAGAAGCGGGACCAGAACTCGCTCTCGGGGACTTTTGGCACGTTCTCGTCGTAGAGCCGCTTGACGAGCGGGTGCTGCGCCATGATGAGCTGGACCATCTCGACGGTGATGTCGAGCTTGAGCACGTCGTTCTCCAGCCGCGGCTTTATCGCGGGGAGGACGTTGTACGCTCCCTTTTGCTGGTTCACCTCGATGGCGTGGGCACGTAGCAGGTTCGTGCGCGTCGACCAGAACTGCGCGTTGAAGGCCGCGTCTGATATCGACTCTGGCTTGGTCGCGCGCGCGTCCATGTACGTCTGGTGTAGGGTACGGTCCTTCTTCATAAGGGATTGCTGCAGCTCAATGTCGCCCTTGAGCTGGGCGTCGTCGAACCAGCGGGCGCTGTTGGGCTTCGCGTTGGCGGAGCTGGCGAACGTCATGGACGAGCCGCCGCCGGCGCCGCCACCACCACCACTGGCACCATTTGCGCCGTTGGGCGGGTTCGGGGTTGAGTTGCCGGAGGGTTTGGGGACGCTGGGATCGCCGGAGCGGATATCGGCCAACAGCCTTGAGAGCAGATCTTTGATGGCGTTGGCCTCGGACCTGGCTTCTGGTGATGTGAAGTGAAAGAGGTAGGGCACCTGTTCTGTTGCATCTGGAGGTTTCTCAAAGATCTTGAGCATGACCTTTGCTGCGCTGTCTGGTGTCTGTTGCAAATCTGTGGCCCGCGTCAGTCATGCATTGTGCTGTCTCGTCAGGTGGAAGCTCACTTGAGATGTTGGCAATCACCAGGGAGACCGTAGGCGGTCCATTTCCTGGTGCTGGAGTCCAGATGACGGACTGCTGATCTGGGGTCAAGGTCAAGACACCATCCTTCTTCTTGAAGGCTGCGCGACCTGACGGTATCGCCATCTTCAGTTTTTATGTAATTTGCTTAGACGTTGCTGTGAAGCATAGCGTTGAGACCTTCACTTCGTCACCACCCTGTCAAGCCACCTCAATGTGAACTCCCTCCTTGCCTCAAATGATTCGGCCTGGGTCTTCGCAGGGATGAGACCCGGTACGTCAGGAGCGGCCCACCAGCCAGATCGACAGTAGTCGCGTATGATTCAATAATTCTGCAACGGTAAGAATTTATCGCTCAAATGCGGAAATCGCGTAGTAGCGTGGAATGGGAATAGTTCAATGTCTTTCACCTGGTTTTGAAGTCTCGAGGTTCAAAGCTCCAGCCACAGGAGCGTATGCTGCCTGAAGTGGCTGTCGGTCGCCAGCTGGCGCTGTCTTGACAGCTTCCGACGGCCCGGCAGTTGCCACACGTCCAACCTCAGACGACCAATCTCAAGGCATTCACAGTCGCCTTTTTGACATCAACAACCATAGTCACCCCAGTTGAGACGGCACCTAGCACTTCACCATTATCAGATTACACGAGAGGGCCATGTTTTACAACGATCGTGGTGATTTGCTATCTAGCTTGTCTGGCGTATTTCCCTGCCATCCTTTTCCTATGCGAGCCAAGAACCAGTCCTGGAAGATCCATGCTATCCTCAACGCCAAAATCTCAGAAAAGCCAGAGTTTGTCCCCATGTCTATGGATGCGTGCCCCCGTACCTCGTCCAAGTCTCATAAAAATGTCGTGAACCTTTCGACAATACATTCCGAAAGGGCAAGAAAAGTTTGTTACAGAGGCCACCGCGAGCGCTTAGATGTGGTGTCTAGCGCGGAGGGAGCGGCGACCGTGGGCTCTCTTCTTCTGCCAGACCAGGACCTCGGTTGTGCCAGACTGGCATTTGGTGCCAGGAGCCATACTCATGAGCACCGACCACTGTCCAGAGGCACAACGCTGGAAATGAGTGCCGGAGACGCAGTTCCACTGGCCCTCGGGGTGCAGGTCTTGCCGGGAGTCATGGAGCCGTCAGTTGCATCACCAGATCCGGCACCAGGCGAGGGAGCTGCGGATGGAGTGGCAGAGGGAGCAGCCGAGGGGGCAGCAGAAGGGGCGGCCGAGGGAGCGGCTGCCGTAGTGGGAGCAGGCATGGCGGTGGGCGCCGCAGATCCTTCGGTGCACTCTTCGCTGGGTGAAGCCGGAACGCTGACGGTCGCGAGTGTGGTCGGTCGGGCAGAGTTGCTAGAGGCCGGGACGGTGAGGAAGACGCCGCCAGGGCTAATGGGAGTCAGTGTAATTACAGTGACAAGGAGTGAGGTACACTTACAGTCCAGCAGATGAAGAGGCGCCTCCAGCAGCACGAGTAGTCGACTGAGAGCTCGGCTGAGAGACTTGAGAAGCGGCCGGAGCGGACGGGGCAGGAGCGACAACGCTGGCAGAGCTGCCACCGCCACCTCCAGAGCTGCCACCACCAACAGCGACGTCGCAGGTGCCGACGGGGGCCGGTCTTGGTGCCGGCGTTGGTGACGTCTCCAGGAGGACCGGGGTTGGGGAACAGAACGTCAGATCCCTCGACAGTGCTGCAGCCGTTGGCGATGTTGGCCTTGAAGATCTGGGGACGGCTGCTGAAGGGGGTGGAAGCGCTGCCGCCTCCGCCGGTGGTGGTAATGACGGCGCAGTTCATGTAGCTGTGGAAGGAGGATTAGCATGGCCATGGCGAGTATCAGAAGGGCAGGATGAACATACAACTCTCGGTTACCGACGTTGTTGAACCAAGTCCAGGCGAAGAGGGCGTCCTTGGCAGAGGGGGTATCGGCGGGCAAGGTGAAGGTGAGAGACGAGGTGCCCGCGACAGGACAGTTACCGATGTAGCTGTGGATGACGGTGAAGGTCTTGCCGCTGTCGAAGGAGAGGGAAGCCTGGCAGCTACCGCCGTTGTGGTTGGCACCGCCGGTGATGGTCATGTTGTACTGCTGGCCGGCCTGCCAGGTAGCAACGGGAGAGGCTGCAGCGGTTCCGAGAAGGCTCAAGGTGCCCTTGCAGGGAAAGTCGCTGCCAGAAGCACTGAGAGGGCTGGTGATGCTGTAGTCAATGTCCTGGGCGGCGAAGGGGTTCTGCTTGGATCGCAGAGGCGGCGGGTAGGTGATTGCCATATGAGCCGCGGCTTGGCCGGCAAGCAGCACGATCGAGGAGACGAAGGTGGACTTCATGATGTCTTCTGGTGTTGGAAGAATTCGGTCTAGGATGAGGGTGGTTTTGAGAGGATGAGGAGTTATTTCCTAGGTGGCGTCGCTTCCAGATGTTTGTTGACAAAAGCTTGGTTGTTTTTTGACTGGAAGAAGGGCTGATGGATTTTTTTGTAGGGTGTAGGGTCAAAGAGTGGATTTGCTCCTCGTCTTGAAATGTGTGCTGGTCTGTAGGTTGATCCTTAGGTTGGGATGGTTGAAGTGAAGTGTTGTGGGTGAGTGAAGGTGAGTCGGTCAAGTCAAGGTGAGTGAGACAGGGTGTCTTCACTTGTATTTATCTGAAGGGTGGTCTTGAGAGTCGAGCCGGCTCGAGAAAGAAAAGTGAAGAAAAAAAAGTCGGGTGACTTTTACAATGGAGAAGGTCGAAGGAATGTGTTCAAACGTCCAAACAATGAGGCTGGTCGGGAGTTGAATAATACCGGCGAATACGTAACCGTTGAAGATTTCAAAGTGGCAGGAAGGAAGGAACGGCAGTGAGGCTACTGGTACTCCACGTGTAAACGGGGGACGAAAGTAGGCCAAGTTGGGCTGAGTCTGTAGCAGTCAAGAGCGTGGATGACGCAACAACACTGGACGAGGTTGAGCAACAGAAAGAAAAATTGTAGAGATTGAAGATAAGAAAGGAGGGGGAAAAAAGAGGTTTCCCAAGAACTCGGATCGAGCTGCTACGAATGAAGTCAGGTGCGGGATGAAATAAGAGGTTGAAGAAAAGGCGGGAGGCTGTCACGGGCTCTTTATTGTCGAACAAACCACACCACTCAGCCGGCCCATCAGCATCTTGACCAAGGGAAAGCGTACGAACAAGAGGGGGGGGGGGGGGGGGGGGGGAGCCGCTTCCCAGGCTTGCCAGGGTTCGAAGGGCCTGCTCTCTCTCTCTCTCTCTCTCTCTCTCTGGCTTCTCGTCCAGTTGCAGTCCAGAGTCTGCATTCTGATCCATGAAAGTGAGGTAGCCATGCGGCCTGGCTAGCGGTCGCGGGGTGTGCCTCTCTCGCGCCGCAAGACAAATCCCTGCCCTGGCGCATGCACCCTTCTTTTCTTCATCGTCATCCGGCAGGTCTACATCGAGATACCTCGGATGCCCATGTTGGATGCCTCCAGACAACTGGTATAGCTACCTACGAAGTCATAGACATCTCAACCTTCGAACTCGGATAGCTACTGGTAGAAGACTGAAGGGGAACCCTTGAGATATCCCTTCAACGTAGTGTAGGTCCAGCATGGACCGCGTGTGGTTGACATCCTCCCTTTTCTTCTCCCTCTGGATTCTTTTCCCAAACGACCCAAGGTCCTGGCGCAACTCTCGGCTTCTCCGTCACCCTTCCTTCCTGTCCAACAACGGCTCCATCCTGAAGAAACTCGATAAAGAGAAATCCCCGAGTTGCGCCCAAGGAGGCAGCGGCCGGATTCCTGTCTTGTGCCCCTTGCACCCTTGCTGCCGCCTTGCGGGTCCCCAAGAACCCCGGTCTCGCGGGAAGCGTTACAACTTCCAAAATCCCTCCCATCTGGCCGAAGCGATCAAGGCAAGGGTACCAAGTCACACCGCACCTCGTCGCATGTTCTCGGTGCGATGCGGGTATGTCGGCGCAGGTACCTGAAAGTTGTCCCCTCACCGCGGGGCCAACTCTTGGGCGACAAGAGGGCGCGTTTGTCTTGTCTCTGATGTGCGGATGGTAGTGGCCGAGAGAGAGGTGTACGGAGTACCTAGAGATGGTGAGAGAGAGAGGTGTGGGACGTGGTCCAAAAAAGGTGGGATGAACAGACCCTGGACCGTCCAAAAAGAGACAAAGTGCTGGTTCGGGCCTGTCATTGGCTCAGGGACGGATGCGCGTATGGCAGGCCACAGCGGCAGCTGCGCGGTAAAGATGTGAAGCTCAAGGGCCGCAAATCGAACCTTGGCCGAGCCTCTGGGCTGCTTCCAAGTTCCATGTTCTCGTTATCCGTACCGGCGTACCTTACCTAAGGTACCACGCCTACCTATTACTTACGGATACAGCATCCAATGAACCGGCCCGCGTGCCTGACTGTCGCTTCAGCGCCCGGTTCACTGATTGGCGCAGTCCGTTTACACACACCCAGGCGGGCACGGCGGGCTACCACCTTGCCTTGCCTCTCAGCTCAAGAACAAACACAATAAGACAAGAAACAGCCCAAGCTGAACCATGAGAAAATATACAAAATAACCTGAAGAACTTGAGCACGAGACAGACAACACAGCTGGTACCTGCGGCCCTCGATTACACATTAAACTGCCCGCGCAAAAGTGCTCCTGCGCCAACAATCCGAAGCAACCTCACCTTCACCGGTGTCCGGTGACATTGTGTGGAGCGCAGACAAAAAGCCATGAAAGAAAAGTCGTCGATCCCAGGACCCAAAGAAAGGCCCCAGGTCCACACGGCTTCATTCCAGCCAGTGTTCGTCGGTGCCCCATGTGCCTCCTGTGCCTCCCCCGCGTGCCTGCCCTGCCGCCTCAGCGCCTCCTTCTCAACACTACATCCACCCAAGCCATCCCCGGGAACCGACTGTGACGTGGAACTTGGCAGGCTTAGAAAAAAAAGAAGTAGAACTTTTTCAAACGTCCAGACTTCCCAGACCCCAAGCTCAATTGGGATAAGACCAAAAAGCAGGGTGGATAAAAAGAAGAGAAGCAGGGGGGAGGGGGTTCTTGAAACATGCGACATGCGCCGTCAAATGGCATGCATCCTACAACCGCCACGAATGAGAATGTTTCCTGCCATTCCCATACAGCCGCCAGTCGAAAAATGCATACCCAAGGATGCTAACAATGGATCATAGGTGCATCAAGAGGCGCCGTAACCTGCAACCCATGCCATCTTCTCCCCCCCGATGATACCTCGAACTCTTTAATTATCAACTCGACACCTAAATTCGAACATATGAGGTAGGTGATCTTTTGCTCATCGATAAATAGTCACATAGTATGACTAGACCTTCTCACGTCATCCATTCCACCATTCTATCCAGGAATAACAGTCTTTCAACTCTGGGAACAACGTGAATCGCTAGCCCTTTTTCCCACGATCAAGGTTTCCAGCCCGACCTCACACAGTCATGTTCCAATTCCTAGAATCCTCTTCTTAGCATGTCGTGGTGCCGAATATGCCGTCCGAGATATTCCAGCAACACTAGGGTTTTCTGGCCTTCTTCTCCCTTTTCTCATGGCCACTCGTGCATCTCTGCTTTGTTTGTCCTTGATCCAAATGCATTACACAACACTGCAAAGACTGTCTACCAAAGATATCCAGAAGCTCTATTATCCAATCACGTGCAATTCACTCTGACCTTTTGAAGTAATGTTTTGTCATTTGAAGCCACCTATTGATAGATAGATGGCTTTTCGTCTACGCTGTTCAACTCCTATGCTTTTTTTCTCGTCACTAGCTCTACCTAGCTACTGCGACACACCCAGCCTTCACATATGCGTTTGGATCATGACTGACGTCCTCACATCCCCCTTGATCCTCTGCCGTGATCCGCTTGAGAGGCATGACAGTCCTGCTCCTCCAGGCATCATCGCAGTAGACCCCTGCGTCATCTGAACCCTTCGGACTGTCTCCCCCAACAACAAGCTGACCAATACGTGACTTTCCAGTTTAGCAAACGCACTACATAGAGCAAGTCCAATCCTGCCCTCCACCTCGGTGACTGGCTTGCTGTGGATGCTAGCCCCCTGGGAGATATTTCCTTGGCGGCCGCTCCAGAGGTTTTCATGAACTGCTTTATGGATTGCTAGCACATCCAAGTTTGCAGCATCCATCCCAAGCTTCGCGGATCAAGTGATTGTTCATCAACGCTAAAGGGGCCTAGATACTGAGATGTGTTGGAGTATGTCCCCATGGCGTTATCGGTATGCCTCAGTGGTTTCGTCGAGCTCTCATTTGGCTTCTTCGGAACCTCCAGGAGCGTGTCCGGGACCATTGGCAGGTGCCGAGGGAACCTGTTGGGGACCCTGGTGCTGCCCATGGTTGTTGAACGGCTTGCCTCCATAATTGTTGCTTCCACTGCGGTGTTGCGCCCCGTATTGATGCATCTGAGAGGGACTCGTTCCAAAGTGCTGAGGTCCAGGACTATTGTACCCACGTACATTGCCAACTAAGCCGAGGTGTTAGCAGTTTATTGATAGCGACCGCTGGGTACCATCTTACCCTGACCGCCGGGCTGCTGCGGAGTGTACGCAGGCTGTTGGTACTGCACATTGGGGCTCATGCCATACACCGGTTGGCCTTGCTGGGAGCCTTGATGAACCATCATCGGCGCTGACGGGCGTCCCGGACTGGGATAACCGTTGGCTCCGGGAATAGGCTGAGGCGGCGCGCCATTCGGAGGCATGAACTGGTGGTTGCCAGCATACATTGGCATTTGGCCGGGCGCCGGCACCATGCCCTGCGGGTTGATGAATTGAGGCATCATAGGTTGTCCCATGGGACCACCCTGCTGCTGCGGCATGTATTGATGGTTGTTGGAGAAGTTCCGGTAGCCACCCATCTGAGGTGTACCCGGCCCACCGTAGGGCTGCATCATCGGCTGGTTGTAAGGCACTTGACCCGCCGAGGTCATGGCTGGTGTGTTATAAGTGATTGGGACCTGTGCCATACGCGGCGAAGCGAAGGACTGGGCCGAGTTGGAGTGCATCATGCGGTGGTCATCCATATTTTGGTATGGTGTATGAGGCACATGTCCATGCTGATTTTGTATAGGCATGGGTGGCATGTGTGGTGACTGACGCGGGCCCATACCGTGAGCAGGTTGCTGCAAATGGAAGGGAAGCTGATGCTGGTGGGCGACGCTGGGCACAACGTGAGTGTGGTTCGGTGTGGCAACTGATGACACAGCGAATGACTGACGCTCCAAGAACTCCTTGGAAGTCATGAGCATAGTGGAATCGGGCTTCTCGTTGTCCGAAGGTTGTCTCCAGGTGGGCGGGGTGTCGTATGAGGGTCTCAGGCCGTCGTTGTCGTCCCAGTTCCGACCCTGAGGCGGCGTGAACGTCTTGACGTGTGCCAGTATGTAACACTTCTTCACGTCGACTGCCTTTGTCTTCCGACGAATCAACTGTCCAGCTGATGCCGGGGTCGAAGCAGTCTCCGGGGCGTTGTTGGCAGCAGCAGAGCGAGGACTGGAACCTGCGCTTGGGTGTCCGTTCGGGTTGAAGGACGTCGCGAAGGGGTTCGGTCTGAACTCGTGGCTGTTTGGGTTAAGCTTCCCGCCAAGGTGGCTCGGGACACCGCCGGCGCGCCGGAAAGCCTCAGTATTGTTCGCAGGGCCGGTTGGCGGCATCCGCATGTCAGGGCCACCAGGGTGCTGGTTAGGAGGCTGCGACATCTTCTGCTGCTCCACGTGGCGCAGGCGCTGGGCCAAGGGCTGGCGGTTTTGTTGCGCCATGTGTTGGCCTGATCTATCGTTCCTGTACGCTTGGGCGTGATACTGAGGGCTGGCGTAAGACTGGCGAGCGTTGGGATGGCGGTTCGGCCCATTGGAGGGAGAAATAGTGTTTGCTGGCGCCGGACGCGCAGTGTTCCTTGTCTCGACAGCGGCTTGAGTGGCCGGAGCATCAGCAGGCGGCTTCCCTGCACCCTCCTTTGATGAAGCATCCTTGCCCTTGAGAGTGGGTGTCGTCTTGGTACGAGCAACATCTTCCGCGTTCTGGAGGGCCTTTGCCTGAATCTCCTTCTGTTTATCGGGGTCCTTGGCGATAATGGAAATCAGGTCAGTAGGAACTGGAGTTGACAGCTTGAAGGTATCGGCGAATTTCTTCAGTTCTGTCAACTTGACTTCCTTGTCGGCCTTTGCCTTGGTGCTTCGAACTTTCTCAGCAACTTGCCGCTGCTGGCTGGCAAAAGTTCTGAATGACTTCAAAACGTCGACTTCGACTGTCGAAGCAGCACTTGGAGCTCCCGGGGCGCCTTCTTTGACCTGAGGAGAGATCGTTCGGCTTGTAGCTGCAGAGGGACGGGCTTGGGTAGCTGACTTCTCAGCGGCCTTGGCATCACCGGGCTTTGCGGCGACGGTCTGCTTCGTCTCTGCAGGCTTCGTCTCGGCCTGCTTAGTCGGTTCCTGCTTCGGGGCAGCCTTCGTGGCAGGGGCGGCAGCAGGCTTGGGGTCAGCGGCCTTGGGCGCCTCAGCAGCTTGGGTAGCACTGCCCTTGTTGACAAGCTGGCTCAAAAGCTTGGCATCTTCGGGCTTCACTGTAGTCTGCTTCTTTGCGGGGGCTCTCAGTTGCGACGAGATAATCGCGGGGTCAATTGGGGCGCCAACGACGGTCGCATTCGAAGCGGGTGCTCGCTTGGCAGGAGGCGTGTACTTGTTTTCGCGGCTCGACAAAGGGGGAAAGTCCTGACGGCGGACTCCGCTGTATCTGGAAATGGATGTTAGCTTTGGCTGCTTCGAGATGGAGACAGCAAAGAGAGGCTTACTTGTCTTCCTCATCCCCGCCCTTGTCGTCACCACCGCCCGTGACATAATCCATGACACGCTCCTCCGCAACGTGCGCCGTGGTGGCCAAGCTTCGCTCGATCTCGCGAGCCTTGCGCTCGGCAGCAGCCATGCGATCACGGTACTGCGGGTGGCTTTTGTCAATGGTAGTTGTGTAGATGTTCTCATCGTAGTCGGTCTTGAGGCCGAAGAGTCGCTCGTTCTCGGCGAATTGGTCCCAAGCTCCTCCACTGCCGGATGGCTTCTCCAAGCTGCCATCGATGCCATCGCTGGAATCGGGGACCCATGGCTGGAGGGTTCGCTCGGTGCCAGGCCTGTTGTTGGATATAGCGGTATCGGTTCTGAACCCAGATCGAGCGCCTGCATCACAGTTAGCGTTATTTTAGGT